AGGGAACTACGGGGCGAGCGCGACTCGGACCAGGGCTCCGCTGCGACGGCAAGTCGGCGGCCTCGCGCCCGGCTAGCTCGGTTCGCCGAGGTACCCTGGACAATCTATATCACAAAATAATGCTTAGTAGGGTTTTGTAAAATACGACTTTATTTCAGGATCGACGAGCTAGCGGCACCGCTCCGCCGAGCGCAGGGGTCGATCCGGGGACGTAAGGTCGTTCTGGGCCGCGCCCGCGCGTCGCGACCATGCTCGGAGTCTTTGCGCAGCTCGCGCACCGCTCGGCGGGGTCTGGCGGCGCGCGCCGATCAGTGAAGTGATCAAAACTCGGATTCTGATAGCCTGGATTTAAAAGTCAACATTTTTGTTGAACTTCAGCACTTTTGTTGAAGTTAAATCTTGCGATTTCTTGACCCGAACCAGCGACCGCGCGCAAAAAGTCTTCGCAAACGTGCAATCAACGCGTGAGTATCATCAAGCTTGCTTTGATACGACCATTTAACCAATTTTGGCCGTGATTTCAGCCCGCGGACCTCCGCGACACCGCGCCCGCGCGCGCGGTCGACGCACAGCCTCTATGGAGGACTAATGACTCTGGCTCCGCCGGCCGGAATTCGATGATTGATCTTTATTAATTAATTTCCTATGGGCGTGTCTAGATGTACGTTGATCACTTCACTGGCGCCGATTGACACCACGTCGCGTAGCTCGTCGATCCTGAAAATAAAGTCGTGTTTTAGAAAACCCTTGCAAGCATGAAAAAGCAAGTGGCCGATGTCGCTGCCATCACCCACGCTGTCTAATAACTTTTTCCGCGCGCGGCCGCCCCGCGCGCGCTTTGGCAGGCCCCCCCGCGGCGGCGTCCCGGACACTTCCACCGAGGCGATTTCCAAACGACGGCGGGGGGCGCGAGAAACGAGCGGTCGACGGTTTCGCGGTTTCCGCGCGGCGGCCCGACGGCGCGGTTCCCGCCCGCCGCTGCGGCCCGCGCCCGGCGCGGCGCGCCCCCCGCGACCCGCGAGGAGGTGCGGGGCGGCGGTTTCGCCCGCGCGACGCCCTCGGGCGCCGCGCGGCCCCGGCCGACTCGATCGGGGATTCGTTCGGGCCCGGCCCGGTCGGGCGGCGGGCGGATCGCCCGCGGCCCGCGTGCGGGGCGGCGGCGGCGGCGCGCGCGCGGCCCGGCACCCCGCGGGGTCTCGGGACGCCCGCGCCCGCGCGGCGCCGACGTCGACCGGGGCGCCGCGGGCGACGCGCTCGGCGATCGGCTCCGGGCCGCGGGGCCGGCGGCCGGGTCCGTCCGACGGGCCGCGCGGGGCGGGGGGGGGGGGCGTGACGATTTCTATGGGTCAGAGAGTATCTGCGGCGGCCGGGCGGCGCGACGCCGAAGGCCATCGCGGGACGGCCGGCGACGCGTTCGGGCCCGACGCTGCGCGCCCGCGCCTACTCGGGAATACGATCACCGACTTTGTGAGAGCCGTACTACGGGTCGCGCAGGGAAGCAATAAGATTACACAACCACCGGTTCCGAAGGGGCGGGCTCCCACAACCATCGGTCCCGAAGGGACGGGTTCCCACAACCATCGGTCCCGAAGGGACGGGCTCCCACAACCATCGGTCCCGAAGGGACGGGCTCCCACACCCATCGGTCCCGAAGGGACGGACTCCCACAACCATCGGTCCCGAAGGAACGGGCTCCCACAACCATCGTCCCG